CCCTGTGTATTTAAAAAAGGACTTCTTGTTGTCCTTGATCCAGGAAGCTAGTCCCAGTCCCATCTCCACCTTGGCCTTCCTGACTGCCCCCCTACAGCCCCGAGCAACTGGAATATAATCCTCCCTGGTGATGGCCCCTCCCTTCCATTCGGTGTACGCCTCCCTTTTAGCTAGGAGACATTCCTGGATGCTTTAGATGAGCCATGGGGGCTTTTGCACCCTCCTGCTCCCTTTGATCCTTGTTGGGATTACCTCCCTTTGGGCTTGAAGGATCGTCTCCTTAAGGAGCGACCACTCTCCTTGGACACCTGACTCCCCTCCCCTCCTGGGACCTCAGTGCTTCCTCGACTATTCTCCTTAGCTCATTGAAGTCCCCCCTCCTGAAATCTAGGGCTGCTGCCTTGCTGAAGGCCTTTGCCACCTTGCGCTGGATGGTGAATTCCAGCAGGCGATGATCACTGTCGCCCAGGGTAGGATACATATTTGTGTATTTAATATTAATGCATTTACATAAGCCATAAACCTGAACTTATTCAAGTCCCAATATATAAAACCATTATTCCAGGCCTTGGCAAACTTGAAACCATCAATTGAGACAGCACAAATATGTTGGTAGCATTCTTTGCACAGTTCCTAAACTGCTAAATTGTTCACCAAGATTTGCTGGAGTCTTGGACTTAAGCCTCCAGGTGGCTAAGGACAACATTTAAATAGGACAGCAGGCACTTTTGAAGCTATGGACATCTCTCCCACCAGAATATTTACTTTGGCTATTTGTGGTGTTCCCTACAGTTAGAATGAGGAAGGCTACAGTAGATTTGACTACCGTGGATGATGTACATGAAGGACCCAATCCAGTTCCACCTATTAGGTGCTTATGTGTGATTCTATTTTACTTTGTTCAAATCCCCCCAAAAAGCATTAATGCATTTACTTCCATCACATACTGTCATATTAGCCTTAAGCTTAAGTCAGAAAAAAGCCGTGAGGAGGAGGTTGGCCAAGCCAACTTCTGTATTGTCCATTTTTCAGGGACATCTGTAGTGGAATCAGATAGCATTTAAGTGCTTAAACCCACTTCGAATAATGGACTTTTACTGTTGCTAATGGGACAATAAACAGCCAAGTAAGAGTGTTTTTACATGGCCGTTTATTGTCCCATTAGCAACTACACTACAGTTTTTACTTGAGGAAGACAGCATGAAATCAGCCCATGGTGAAGATTTGACCTACTGGCAGATGTTCTCAATTTCTTTTTTTCCTTTTATTGCCTTTGCTGCTTGTGATCTCTGCCTGACTTCCTTGTCTTTCATGGGAGTTTCACCAGAACCCAGCAGAAAAATCTTTTCAAAGACGCACTCCTGGAGTTACAGCCTTCAGCTGTACTCTTCTGCAGAGTGTAATAGCTTCAGGGGGGTGGACAAAGTGTGGTCTAAATAGGCAAGAGCCGAAGGAGTCCAGCATGCTCCTGGGTGCTGGGAGATGTGGGTTTGACTTCCCTTGGGCTGTGGAGGAAATTGGAAACCGAGTCCCCTACCTCTTAGACAAGTGATCTAACTGTGAAACAATTATCTAGAAGGGTAATTGCAGCATCACCACAGAAAATGTTTTTTGAAAAAGGAGCTGCTCTATCCTTCCTAAGAGCAAACATAACTTTTTTCTACCTTTAAGGAGAGAGTTCAGGGCTGTAGTTTCCTTGGCTAGCTCAAGCAGCTGCATGCTGGGTGGGATGACTTTCCCCTCAGTGTGACAATCATTTAGAGTCCGTTTCTGAAGCATGTGAATCTCCTTATGCACTGGATGGGGAGCCTGGACACCTAGGATAGATTCTGGATCCTACCTTGAGGACTAGGCACCTACACATAAGGTGTAGCAGCACAGCATTTAAGTACATTAGTAGGTCTGGCCCTTCGTTCTCACCACTCCCTTTAGTAGGTTATATAACTTGGCAAGTTTCCTTGAAGGTGTTAGAGGCAGCTGTAATAACAGAGTTTGATGCAAGTCAGAGAGAGGACTGACATTAAATGACTTGAGTTCCAAGCCAACTGACATCTTCTTGCTAGGGTTTGACCACAGATTTCAGGAGTATAAAATCACAAGCTTTTGGCATCGTCTTTGTTTTACTCTCCAGTTCCCGATGAACAAGGCTAACAGAGACCTTTACATTCTCTCCCTTTCCAGCTTCACATGGTTGTGCGGCCAGGTTCACCGAAACTTCCTCTCCAAGTTCACTGGTCAAGTTGTTGAGCTCTTTGATGAAGAGTTTCGACACCTTTACACTTTGTCTAAGCCAGTGATGGGGCTGAGATCTGCGACTCATACACTGCCCTTCGTGCTGAACAAGAGCTGCACCACTCAACGTAGCCTCACTGACAGCAGCGACCGGGGAAGTGCCCACACTCCTTCAGATCCTTTCAGCAGCTTGTCAGCCTCCAGCACACGTCAGACCAAAGAACCCCTGAAAACTCCTGTATTCAGCAGCAACTCAACATCACAATCCCCAATACACAGAGTTAACTCTTTCCATGGCTACACATCTTTTATGTCACCACCACCACCACGCAAGACCATCCAGGCTAACTACTACCCATGGCATTATGTCATGGATACCCCAGCAGTCCTTTATAACAATGCTAACATCTACAGACCTGTAAGACTCAGACAGGAGGATGCAAACAGGTCACGGTTAAATTCAGTTTGGAGAAGCATTCATAAAACTAACCTGATTACATAATAACCATCATCTTTTGTATTGCCAGCAAATGTACTGAAGAGTGAAGACCTATTTTAGCAACAGCTTGTGTAATGAACACTTTCATATAAAATGTACATAGAACACAAACCAAGGATAATTTCATGACTGCTTTTCTCTTGTTTCAGATGTTCAGTTCAAATGGATAATGATGTATGGCTCAAAGTAAAAAAACGCCAAGTCTGCTAGCACTTAAGCCTTGCATGCATAATGATCCTGTTTAGGAACAAATCTAGCAATGTTGTTTAAGCATGTCAGTCACAATCATCTGCCCTTGGATAATGGTTTCATGGATCAATGGGTTTAGGTGGTTGTGTTTTTCACATTGTAAGCCCACTGGAAGTGGATTAAATCATGGTTTATTATTATGGGGGTTTTATTTGTTCATTAAAGGTGACAAGTTGGGAACCTGAAATCTGCTTACTTGCCCACCCAACATAAAGCTTACTGTAGTGGTACAGGCTCCCTGCTGATGTGCCCTATTCCTGACTTGGAAGGATTACCTCTAGGGCTGAGAGGGTAGTACAGGCTCCATCCCCATTAGGAATCTCTGCAGAGACTGATGAGGGCACTGGCCATTGTAGTGTTTTTTGTGACTAGAACTGACAATTACTTGTGGTAATTGCATTGAGAGCAGCAGTGCATATTATGAAAGTCACCAAAAAGATATTAGATGGTAACAACTTGCAGTCCCTATCAACTTAATATGGATTTATTCCTGCAACCAAAGCAGCTTTTCATTACCTCAGAACTCTCTATTCCCTCATTATACAGTATTTCATTATGAAACTGGAGACTGATCACTGCTGCTCGAGAGAGACTCCAATTGCTAGACTGTAATTTCCCCTCACAAATAGTTGCATGAATAACTGGATAGTGATGCTCAACAGAGAAGTCCCAAAGCAAAACCTCACCAATAACACACCTTTCTGAAATTGGGATTCAGTTCATTTAGGAGCACATGGATCTTGGATATCTTTCCAGTGGTCAACTCACTGCATAGAAAGGGATCAAAAAGACCAATTGCCATTGTTTTTTCAAAGCTAAATGACTTGATCTTAAGAAACACCAGGCCTCTCCCACTCTCATTGAAGGTCACTGCAGTTATGGATCACAGCTCAAAGTAGAACATCTTATATTTAGAGTCCCTAACTGTGTGAGACATGAAACAACTAAGGAAATTCAGGCAGCATAAGCATATCCACTTACTTCTCAAATGAATCTAACACCCATTTATTCTTTAGGATGGAGGGGTTTTTTTGCTTATTTTATGCCATTCAGCGCCTGTCTGTCTTTAAGGATCTGACACATTTAACTCTCCATCAGCTACCACACACTGCAAAATAGAGTTTTATAGTCAATTCTTCAAGCATTTGCAGGCTGTAAACACCAAGGCAGAAGTGTAATTACTTAGAAGGAGAGGGGCATGATGAAATTAAATTCATCTGGGAATTGGGAAATTCTCTGACATTGAGATAGGTAGAACAACTTCCCATGGTGCCTTCATCATTTGGCACATAAAGTAGTAAAACAGGCAGAATGCCAGGAAAAGTACTACAGGGAACAACCCTGCACTCACTGACCTGGACGCACAATCTAAGAGGCCTTTTCTACCTTCAGTGTTTATGGTATTATAATATACTGAGGCTAGGGCATACAATGATTGCATACAGATGTAACTCTCATCAACAGCTTTGTACACAGCAAAACATTTTATAAACTTCCTTTTGAAATCAGTTTTTTGTATTCTTTGCCTCCTGTGTACCTTGTAATCCTCTTTCCAGGAACTTGATTTGTTCCTAAGCAGTCAGAACATAACATTAGAATTATTGTCACTCAAATCAATAGGAGCAGAATTAAGCTCATATATCCCCCTGGCCTTGCTGAGTGGTTCACATTCTGTCAACACTTTAAATACAGATGCGCGAAGCAGGTCAATAATATCTTTTTTAACCACCAGTTTTGTAATTCAGGGAGCACAAATGAAGCTGGCTGTTTACATAGCCTTAGTTACAGAGAGCTGATGGTCCCACCGGGGTCCAGCAGGGTCTAGGTGCTGTATAGGCACTTATCAAAAAGGCAGTTCCTGGGTGATGTAGGTTTTGCTTCCAGTCTGTCCAGCCCCTAGAACAATCAGATGCTGGTCCGTGACTGATGAAGACTGCAAACTGCTATGGACTCACTGCATTTGCTTTACTTTCAGTTGCAACACATGGTGGCAAGTTTTATACGCAAATCTTTCCTGACTCATGCTTGGTGTGGATACCACTGAAATGCAAGGGGACAGCAGGACACTGGGTACCACTGAAATGCATGGTACCACAGCAGACCACTTTGGGTACCACTGAAATGCAAGGGGACAGCAGGACACAGGTGACAGAACACACAAGGGGAGCCTTTACTTCTGGGACTTGCTTCCCCCTTTGGTCCAACAAAGCTCAAGTGCATTGACCTCCATGGCATGTTGGGAGTCTTGTCTTTTTTCTCTGGGGTTTTTGAGGAGATGGTTGTATCAAATCGTGTTTTCTCTCAGAGGTTTGGGGGTCCTTCTTGGTAACTGAGTAGCTTAATAGGCAATTTTCTGTTGTGAGGTATGGGGGGATACAGAATAATAGGCTGAGCGCAGCCAACCAGGAAATGGCATCCTGACCGACACAAGGAGTACCGGAACACCATGCGAACCTGCAGCTTGCCAACAGACATTCACAGTTACATTACGTAAAATAGCGTTCTTAAAATAAGAACACAGCAATCAAGGTTATTACTGCGTAGCCAATGCATGAGATCATCAGGGGATCAAGCTGTGTTTTAAAAATATTGGGCATTTGACTTACCAACCTGAAGTAATTGTTCATGATCAACTACAATGTGGGTGCACTAGACTTGTCAGTCCTTTGGCAAAACTTCTCAAAACCAAATACCAGGGAGACAGAACTGCTTTAAATTGCTGAGTCCATGAGTTCAGTGTTGCACCAATTTCATTCTATTCTGGAAATTCCTACCCCATGTCTCCTGGTGAGACATCAACCAGAGGAACGTGGGCCTGGAAAGGTCATCTTATTCCAGTCTGTCCCTCTGCTCTGAGGTATGAGTATACCCAGACCATCCTTGATACCTGTTTGTCTGACCCCTTATTAAAAACTTGCATGAAAAGGTTTCCAAAAACCTCCTTACCTAACCTGTGTCGGTCCCAGTGCTTAGCTATCCTTACAGGGGTCTTTTTTTTACCTGCAAATTAAAAGTTAATCACTTTTATCCTACCCCTAATGGACTGAGATAAAAGTTGATCAACTGTTTTCATATCTCAACAGGTGACAGTGTGGGGGTGGAGCCACAATCTGCTCCCTTCAGGTCCCTTTGACAGGCACTGGTTCCACCGGCAGCAGCTGGCCCCTGCCTGCAGAACCAGCACGTCGCAGAGAGGTGTGCGGAGTGGATCGCGGCTCTGCTCCAGGCCCTGGCCCTGTGCTGTCACTGCTCTGCAATCCTAGCCCTAGTTGCCTATCCTGCTCCTGGATGCTACTCCCCACCCACCCATGGCTCCATCCCCTCTGCCCAGATAAGCGTGCCCTGCCTGCAGGGGTCCCAGGGCAGTCTCCATGGCAGGTGCAGGGCAGATGGGTCAGGGTGCCTGGGCAGTGGGGCCGGTGCAGCAGCTGCAGCTTGGGGGCGAAAGCGAGCTACTGCCATGGGGACTGCCAGGAAGCCAAGTCTGATCGCTGTGCCACCCCCATGGACTACAGCTCCCAGTGTGCCTGAGAGCCATCTGTGAAGATGTGGGGAGGGGGGGCTGTGCTCCATGCCAGGCAGCACCCCTGTACCCAGAAGTGGCAGGACCTGCCGTAGGTGCCACAGCTCAGGCTACCTGCCGTGCCTGGGTCGGGCAGGGCCAAGCAACCCACCACAGGCCAGCTGGATTCATTTGGCAGGCCAGATCCAGCCCATGAGCCGTATTTTGCTGACCCAACGTGTCTCAGCACATTCATTCTTTAGGAAGAGCGTCAACACTTATGTCAATGTGCAGCAATGCCACTACTCACCATACATTGACCAATCAAAACCTCCACCACCAACAGTAAAATGTGCCCCCATTTGAAGAGCACTGTTGTAAAACACAAACTTAATTTTACAAAACATTTTGTAAATTAAGGCTTGATCATGGCGTTCTGCCTATCCAACCAGCCTCAGAGGAACAAGGTATCTGTTGAGAAGTACATGAGGATTCTTCTAAAGACTGAACTAATACCCAACTCTAATTATTTTTATGGTGTTATCTTCTTTTGCATGGAAAGCCTGGATCTGATGGTCTGAAAGTGACTGCTGCATGGAAACTTAATTTAATTCTTCTTTTTGCTGTTTAGAGGTATGTGGATAGCCATTGTCTGAATAGCTCTATTGTATGGCAAACATTACAACTACCTGTGGTACCAAAACATTAACATTGGTGTAGAGCAGTGGTTTTCAACCTTTTTTCACTTGCAGACTCCTAAAAAAATTCAAATGGAAGTGTGGACCCCTTTGGAAATTTAAAATGGAGGTGAATTGTTAGTGTGGGTATTCACATACTTTGATCATAGCTTTCGCAGACCCCTTAGACACAGTCTATGGACCTCTAAGTTGAAAACCGCTGATGTAGAGTTTCCAGCATCACATGGTGGTGTTAATGTGAGGCTTTCCCATTAAGCAAATGGAAATAGCATGTCTTTCTCCTCTGAATTTCTCGATTGTTGGGTCATTTCTGCAGCTGCTTGTAACTACTTGTTTTCTTGATCATTGGCCAGTTTAGCTTGTGGGAGCCTGTTCGGGATTTTTGGCACAATGTGTTGCTGCAATTATAAACTCACTCATTACTGTTTTTCATCAATATTGAACTTATTCGTTTGACATTTGAGTTCAACTGTCATCTAAATTAATGAGCTACACCCTTTCAATGCCATTAATGCCAAGGCTCAATTGAGCTTTTGTGCTGGATTCAAAACGGACCTTCTATACTACCCATTTGTCTCCAGTCTTCTTTCTCACAATGTTTATGGAGACTTTAACTGTGCAAACCAGCCTTAGTGCCATGCCAGATCAATCTCATGTATTTTCTATTAGTCTTTGCATGGCATTTAGACTGCCTCTGGGGATTTCACTGATTTATGGGGTCAGATATCCAGCACTGGCTTTGCCTGCTCCACTGCAGAGTAACTGGTTATGACTGTAAAGTACTAGGGCTAGCAAAATGTTAGTAAGTATTAAAACAAGCACTGATATAATGGCTTAGTGCATAGGAAGCAAATCCCTAAAGGACTCAGGAGAGGGAAATGGTGGTTTGTACAATGAATCTGAGTCACCAGCATGGTCATGTTGCAAAAAAA